GGTATGAATATGAAAAAGGGAATTAAAACATACAATTTACATATGAGGTAGAGGTTGAATCACTGAATGCAAATAGGCAACCAAAATTAGCATAAAACGTATTCCTGGAGTTATACCACAAGGCCTAAAAAGGAAAATGCCGGATCTATACATCAGTTCCCAAGCATACAAAAATTCTATGTAATCCGAGATAGCCAAAGCATAAAGCATGTGCTGAACACACCATTTGCTCGTTAAAATGCATTGGAAAATTGTTGGGATGCTCCAAGCTGGTGCAAGACAATCTGCTGTTACGAAATAGCTGAATGTGCGTCATTGTGTTATGAGTAGGCTGTGGAATCATTATCAGAGGGATCAAAACTTCTGTAGAAGATTCGAGTGTGGATACCAGAGGATTACCACAATGGCACGTGATTGCTTCCGTAGCTAAGTGTAAGATGCCATAGATCACTAATAGAACAACAACTGGTGTTGCATCTCTCTGCTGCTGCAGAATGGCCCATATACTGCCACAATGTGTTGCCATCAATTGCCTTAGGTAGACTGTATGCCCAGCAACCTGCGATTTGTGTTAAATTGTCTCCATTGCATGCCAGTGCACAATTGAATTGGGCCATGAACATTGCATTTTAACACCAAAACAGTTGGGTAGCATATTCTTCATGGAGGAGTCTTGATTTAATATCTAGAATGATTCACAAAGGGCAGTGATATGGTGAGAGCCAGGGACACACTATCAGATGCCAAACATGCCCAAAGATTGCATTTATACACCAAAGAAGTGAAGTAGCATATTCTTTATGGATGAGTCTTGATTTAATATCTAGAATGATTCACAAAGGGCATTATCAAATGCAAAACCTTGACCCTCAAGGATGTAGAAAGGGAAAATTTCGGAGAAAACTCCGGCACCTGCATTAGGGCCATCAGACAGGAGGGATCCATCAGTAAAGATCCGAAGCCACTCTTGCTCAGGGTAAAAAATATTTAATATTTCGAAAGCGAGAGCTCTCAGTTGGATCCGTATTATGTTTCGTTACTTTTTGACCCAGGTCAAGATTAATCCAAAAAGATTTCAAATTTATTGGATTTTGTAGTGGAACAAGTAATTCTGGTTCATTCATTAAACCAAGTAATTCTGGTTCATTCATTAAACCAAGTGAATTTTTTAATTGAAAAACTCTCTGTAGGAAGCCCATATGGGTCTTTAGATTTCTAGTCAGATCTTGATTGACTTCATTCCAGAGTGAAAGACATCCAGGAACTCTAATGATCTTTCTCAAGGGTTTATCACCAGTTAACATAAACATGGCGTCATTCGGGGTGATCTTCACGGCTCCAGAAACAATACGTAAGCACTGATTTTGGATTTTTTCTAGAGTATAGAGTACATTTTTTTCTATATCTACAACAAGTGATTCACAGCAATAAGTCAGAAGGGGGAGGATAAACGAAAGTTTGGAGCAGGGTTTGTCTAGTGCAACCCCACCTTGCTCCAGCAAGGCGTGTAAGGACACTGAGTCTCTTCGTAGCATGGCTGTACATGTCCTCAACATGTGGCTTCCATGTTAATTTGCGATCAAACATCACACCGAAATATTTAAATTTGTCGCACAAGGGGATTTGGGTACCTTTATATGTCAGCTGAAGATCCAAAGATTGGTGCATGAGTGAGAAAGTCAGGCAGTATAATTTATTTAAGTTCACCTTCATATTATTAGTATCACACCAAACTTCCAAAGCATTCAAGGCAGCAGAGAGTTTAGTCTCTATGTTTCTCACTGCACTTTTTAGAAACTTTCCAGAAAACCAAATCATCAGCATATAAGAGACACTTAAAGCCATAAATCTCTCGTATTTTATAAATCAAATCATTAATACAGATGTTAAAAAGGGAGCAGCTATTAACAGCTCCCTGTGGGAGACCTGTTTTTAAGATCTTAGATTTCGATAGAGCGCTGCTGTACCTGACTCTGAAAGAGCGCTGGCACAGAAAGCCTCTAATCCAATTAAAAAGAATTTGAGTCACCATTATTTAACAGAATTTTCAGCATTAAACACGCTAAATTCTTATCAAAAATCTGTCTGTAAAATCTTTGTAAGTTATAGAGTTCATTATCCTTCTTCAGGAGCAAATTTCTTGCGAGTCCCATGTCAGTGAATAAAGTTAACTGTCATGCTTGAGATTTCTTAAACCAAAGTTTCTATGTCCATGATGAAACTTCTGTAATTCAAGTAGTTGATTATTGGTTTGCTTGAGGACCATAACTAACTAATTAAGAAAAATTAAAGCCTGGCCTGGCAAAATTTAGCATATTAGACACAAAAGGAAAAAAGTGTCAATATGACCAAGAAGAATTAAGACAAAATTTGTCATTTGAAAAGAAGAAGTACATTTGCAATACTAAAAATCTTAAGTTTGACTTTTGTAAAATGGAATATAATGTATTGGGTCATATAAAAAGTCTCCACCCTTTTTCAGTACATTTTTGAACAAAAATTTTCTTTATTGAAAATCAATTTCAGTCAAGTACATATTAATCATTATTATCTATGACCTTTTGCCATTTTTCGGGTAGCTTCATGATTCCATTGGTGTAGAACTTCTGTGGTTTATCATCGAAAAACTTGGCGAAGTGATTTTCAGCGGTGCTTCGGTTGGCTAATTTTGTACCATCAAGAGAGCTTTGCAGAGAAGGAAGCAAATGGTAGTCAAACAAAGCAAGGCCTGGCCTATACAGTAGATGCATCAAAACTTCCCAACCAAGCTCCGTCAATTTGTCTCGAGTCGTCAAAGGTACGTGTGGCCGCGCATTGTCATGATAGAACACAACTCCCTTTCTGTTAGCCAATTCTGGTCTCTCTAAATTGTTTCATTCAAATGGTTGAGTTGTGCACAGTACAGGACTGAATTGATGGTTTCGTCAGGTTGCAGCAACTCATAATGGATAATTCCTTTTCAATCCCACCAGACAATCAACACAACCTTATTTGATAACAATCTAGGCTTTGAAGTCATTTGTGGAATGGCATTGACCATGATCACCTGCATTTAATATTCTCGTATTTCACCCATATTTCATGGCCTTTAATAATTCGCTCCAAATATGGTTTGATTTCATTGTGTTTTTTCAGCAGCATTTCACTGATGGTAATTCAGTCAATCAAATTTCTTTGCGTTAATTCATGTGGCACCCAAACTTCAAGCTTCTTTTTGTAGCCTGCTCTTTTCAAATGATTCCCCTAACTGTCATGTTGTTGATATTTACTGCTTCCGCTATTTCCTGACAGCTTGCATTCCGGTCTTGCTCCACCAGATGCAATATTTTATCAACTTTTTCAGTGACTGGCCGACCAGAGCAAAGTGCATCTTTGTCATCGACATTTCTGGAACAGAATTGAGCAAACTACTCCTGGGTATTTTGTTTACTCGCAGCATTCTCACCGTACACTTCACAAATTTTTCAGCATGTTTTTGCAGACCTTTTTTTTTATAGTAAAAAAAACATCCCATAGCATATTTCTTCATATTTTATAAGTGCCATATATCTAGAGTAGTTTTACGACAAGTCTTTTTCAGCATAGATGTGTACATAATGTCTAAATGCATTCAGCTTTCATAAGATGTTGAAGTTACCTTTCCAAAACACCTTTGACTGTGGCTTGAAACTTTTAATGAAAGTATTACCTTGATAAATTTCTAGATTAGTGATTATCCATGTAAAAGCTTCCTTTATTGCTGTTGATTTAGCTTAAAAAACTGAGGAACTATCATTAAGTCAATACGTTTTTTTTTCTATAGTAATGTTATTGTATGAAATACACCTACTGTATCTTGACTATTGGAATCATTAGAAAAAAAAAAAAAAAAATATTTCCTGGGCCATTTTTATCACCATCATTTCATTCGAATTAACCCTTTGGACTGGAGTGGTGCCAATATGGTGCTCGACTGATATGAAGTGTCCATTCGAGCAGTGCCGCTATGGCACCTGGGAGGTTTGATGCATCCTCTTGATGTACACTGTGCTGCCGCTATGCCATTTTGGAACTCGATTTGTTTATTTAAGATGTGCAATAAGATATTGTTACCTGGAGTACTTTCGTGGACCAGACTCAGCTTGCATTCTTAACCAAATCTTAGCTAGTCTCAGCATAGCATTTGTTTGGGGGGGGGGAAAGCTTAGAAAGTATAGCTTTCAGCTTTAGAAAAATTAAAGCTAAAGAAATATTAGCTCTTCACTAATATAGCTGAAATCGTCTCGAGTTGCTGGTTCACAAAAGGCCTCCAGTACAAAGAGTTCATTTTTACTGGAAGTAAAAAATCCCTTTTTATGATTCTGGAATCTTTGTTATTGCTATGCATTTAATTATATAGTTTCATTTCTGTCAAAAGAAAAAATGCAATCCCCCATCTTGGCTTTTGAATGAATAAGCAGAGTTTCAGAAAGAATGTGTAAAGTCACTATAATTGCAGTATTATATGCATTGTTCTTAGATAATAAATCAGTCTTTGCACTTATGCTAGCTTATTATTTTCTCCAGTGTACCAAACAGGCATAGAGTATCATTCTTTCTAAAGCTCTAAGACACAATTGCTTAAAAATTATCCTTTTTGTATCATATCTGTTTTGGAAAAGCATATTTGGTTCATTTAAAACAATTTTTTATTATTATTGTAAGAAATGTCCTTTAATTTTGTGAATGTTGGCATCCATATAACCTTAGAGTAAGTCCCATATACTTAACAGGGAAACTGTTTTTTTTATAGGGATATGATTCCAATATAATTTTGGTAATCCATTTAATGTATCATCTTTAAAGTAAATAAGCATTTATCTTAATCAAGGCCAGAACCAGTATATCTTCACTGGGCGGCAAAATTCTTAGAATTTAAGGAAACTGTGGGCAGCAGAATTTAGTAATTAGTTTATTCAAATTTTGTATAAGCTTTAAAAGTGTGCATTATGTTGTGTTTAAAAAAAAATTTTTTTTAATAGTTCCTATAGGTTTGGGTTTAACAAGTTTAAAGTATGCATCACCAGATGGAAACAGGCTGAGCTTTAATCCTAATGAAAACGTGGAAATATATGTTAAAGATGTTGGCCCTAAAAAAGACTTATGGGGTGTTATGGTAAATTTTTTTTTGTTATTTTGTAACATAAAAAATAAGTTTTTAAAAATCATAACTTAATTTGGTACTTATATATTATCTTATTGACTATGAAAGTTGGCTACTATCAAATCGTAAAAGTTGGTTTATATTCCATCAAAGTTGCGGCTGTCGACCATGTTAAATTCTCAAGGAACTGAAATTTGTGTATTTAATAAACAATCAGTAATCAACCCCTTTTGTGTTTGCACTTTGTAAAATGGCTTTCATCGTTTTCTACTATTTTGATGTGCAGATTTTACAGGAATCTTTGTTTAGAATACTGAAGAAATTAAATTTCCCATAGGTTGTTGTTCCAATCTATTAGTGTTAGTCGGCCATATTTATTTGATTATATTGTATTCATTAATACACATATTTTTTAATGAAGGATCCCATAACTTTGAAAATAACCCACTGCTTACTGTTTCATAAAAGGCAGGATATAAGTTTTTTTGCAAAATGATTGAAAAAAAATCGCAGCAATAAATTTAAATCTTTGCTCATAAAAACAAAACATGGCTTATTGAGAATCTATCAGAGTTCATCAAACAAAAGCATAGATATGAGTGTGTTATTATGTCACACTTACCCATAACTGGTGTTAAATTGTACTGCTTGGTGACAGTTTAACGGTTGACAGGATAATACATAAGTATCCTTAATTTCATTATTAACTGCAAACCAATGTTATTAATAGGTCATTTATCAATTTTTCCATTGCAAAGGTGTGTAAAAGGATTAAAAGTAATGGCAAATTTTTGAAAAGCTTTATGTTATATTTGCTAAATTGCATTTAACACTAGAATTACGAAACAATCATAATGATATGTTTCCTTATGCTGGTTGGGGCAGGTAAGTGGGAATGATTTCAGCTTGAATTTCCAACTAACTTTTACTTTCCCTAGTAAATGTTAGATGACACTGGTGCAGTGCATGTTTTTCAGTAATTAGTCATGCTGCGAAAATGGCTGAGTGAAGTCAAACAAGTTTAAATCTCAACCAGAGAATTGTAATTGCCAGAAGTCTTTATTCTAGGTATATGTTAATTGAAATTATGATTTTGAGTTACCAGAAATTGTTACCAAGTAGCTCAGATTTTTTTCAACTTCTCTGCAATCCAAATAAGGTTTTTGTGATCTGACAAGGAAGAAATTTTGTTGAGAAACAAACTCAAGGACTCTCTAGACTGTAAAAGAAACACAGGAATTGATTTCAAAAGATTCTGGGATATCGCACAAAAAATTAACTACAATCTTGAATGGGAGCAATATCATCATATTAAGAATTGCTGAGGTAGGCATGAAGCAGTTTCTATATAATTAAACTGAGGCAAATACTTTTTGAAGAGCTAAGATCAAGCATGTTGTGGCTTTTGCTGTTGACCATATCAAGGGTAAACAGTAGGGGAAACCAGCGACTCTGGCTCTAATTCATGGGAATTTTAAAGACTCTGACTCCCAACTCCCTCATATATATGTAAACATATACACATGTGTTACAGCTTATTTTCTTAAATGTAAAAGAAGTAATAGATGCTACAGTAAAAAAAGTGATGGCATAGCAGATTATTTATATTAGTTAGCATTTATTATGAAATGGAAAAACTACCATTAGTAATTTCTAAGAAGTGGCATAGCTTCAGCAAGATCTTCTTTGAAAAAGGACCATAGATCCGATTTGATAAACTGTAGAGCTGAGAATAGTCATTCCACAGAAACTTCAAGAGGAAGAAGAGCTGTTACTGTTAGGGCTATTTCTTTTAACTTTTCAGAATAGGTTTGTATAATTTCTAAAGAGGTGCAAGAACATTCATATTTCTCTATTTCTTCAAGGGCTGCATAGAAATCTTGTTTGTATTTTTTCATTTTTATATCTAAAGTCTCTTGGTTCTTTATTTTCATCCACTTTGCCTTAGCCTTTTCAATATTATCCGAATATTTCTCAAAATCTTAATTCATTAATGGAAGGGGATGATAGAGACTTAATTGTAATGCCTACAGTCTAACTGTTTTGATTTTAATACTCCAGTTGTTCAGATAATAATTTCATTCTTAGTGAAAGTTCATAGATGGCTTTCTTTACCTTTTTAATTTGTTCATCATCCAACAAAATTCGGTATTTGGAATCTACATATATTGAACCCAGCAAGATCTTGCTGTCTAGCAAAATAGTTTCTCTTTTCTTCATTGAGGAAATGATTCCTTCTGCAATAAGTTGTCCCATTTTGGAAAGAACAAACATCACATTTCCCATTCTCACAGAAACAAGCCGCCTGTTAATTCTTCAGATTGTAGCTTTTTTGTGGCTATATACAGTGTAGGAAGAAGTTTCCAATTCTGCAAGATCATTCCATAGTCTTTCTGTTAGTGAAAGATTAGGGTTATCTACATCTTCTAAAAAAGGTTCTTAATTCTAACAATCTCTTTATCATCAAATATGTACTCCTCCTTTGCACTGCTTGATTAATAATTGCTGCTTTTCCTGCTGGCCTCCTAAGAATGGTATCACTTTTGGGAGTCCTTGCTGCTAGTGCTGCTTGCCTAAATTTAACACTGAGTTTTGTAACATGGGTACCAATGATATTTATAGCATTTGGTGCATTGGGCAGCCACGGGCTCATTTTTCTGCTTGCTTTGCACTGCTTGATTAATAATTGCTGCTTTTCCTGCTGGCCTCCTAAGAATGGTATCACTTTTGGGAATCCTTGCTGCTAGTGCTGCTTGCCTAAATTTAACACTGAGTTTTGTAGCATGGGTACCAATGATATTTGTAGCATTTGATGCATTGGGCAGCCACGGGCTCATTTTTCTTTTTTCGAATTATGCTACAATAATGCCATCTATGAGCTGAAAAGTAACTAAATCAGTTTAATGAATAATCTTTAATATCACATCCATCTTCCTCCCTTATATTTATTTATTACTATGTCAATCAAATGGAAAGTAACTAAATATTATTAAAATATATAATCCGTAAGTAAAAAAATAACTCAGTTTGTCATTAATTTTTTTTTTTTTCAATTCACTTTAGTTTCATTTCATTTGAAACTGTCCAACAAAAACTGGAGTTGGAGTCGACACGTTTTTTAGTGACTCCATCTCAGACTCCTTTTATCCCCAAATCTGCCTAACTCTGATTTTAACCCTGACTTCACAGCCCTGATATCAAGGTCATTTGTAGAAATGACATTTAGCTTGACAAAAACCCAAGAATGTTCTATTATAGCTATGACCAAGTTTCGAGTGAGCATATCGGTGCTTGGTGTTATCTTGAGCATTTCAGGGCTTGGTGTTGTGATTGCCTCACTGCCTCATTTCTTTCAAAGGAGTAAAATTGTTACAAAAGAAGTGTATGTAAATATCTTATTGATGATGGTAAAAGCCCTGGTTGTGGAAGACTATACTTACAAGAGAGCCCATCTACTCGCATGAGCCTCGTAGATCTAAACCGGCTTTCTGACAAGATCGGCATATTTAGTTCAAAAGGGTCTTCTTTCCCCGATAATCCAGTGCACAAACCACTGTACAGCTATTACAGTATTGTTGGGAGAGTTACCAATAAATCGAGACATTCTAACATGACAGAAGCAATTCAACAAGTATTTATAGATATAGACTGAGAATAATTACAGAGAGCTGGGTGTTTAAGGTGATGATTGAAGCAGAAGACCTCTGCATAGAGTAGAAGGTTCAGAATTTGTGTTCTTTTAACAAAATATGCTAGCCCCCCTTTTTTTAAAAATTTTATTTGTTTTTTAATAAATGACTTGTATATAAAAATGTAGCAATCTTAATAGTTTAGCTGGTGCACCGTGTATATCATTTGTTGACAGTTGGTGTTAAATTATTTACTTTAATGAATTCTTAATTTGTGGATGTAGAAAATGTAATGTTTTATATATTAAGTTTCCATGGAAAAGATGATTTTTAAAAGTAACTTTTTTTTTTTTTTTTACTTTTGTGACTCTTCATATTCGATTCCTTCATAAAAAAATGTTTTTGTTAATCAACCTTGTAATATAAAAAGCATATTAGCTAATTTAATTGATATGCAGAGACTCGTATTAGAGGCTTTGCAATAATTGAAAAAAACTTTTAAACATATCCACAGTAAATAAGAAAACTTCTTAAATTGATGAACATGTTAGGAATGACATTAAACACAAAAACCTTCCCCAGGACCTGTGCATAATCTCTGTAGAGATGACAAGATTAAAAGAATTAACTTAGTAAGGAAACAATTTATATTTTCAAGGGTTTTTAATTACTGTCATGTAGTGCAGTATTTTCCCAATAGTTTCTAGATGTTCTCGAAGAGTCTGGTTTGTTATTTTATTATCAGAATGTTGAGACAAGGTTCATATGACAATCTCAGGGTTCGTACGGTCCTTAAAAGTCCTTACTTTTTTCAAAAATGATTTTTGGTCCCTAAAAGTCCTTAATTTTGGCCAAAATGAATAAAAGGTCCTTAATTTTGCTCATTTGACATTTCTTATCATTTCTAATGATTGCCATTCTAAGTGTGAATTACGATTTCTCATGAATATGGAATTAAAATTACACGGCTCTTAACCAGTCTGTTGGCAGATTTGCGTTGCAAACGAATAAAAAAAAAACAATTAGCTACCCGAACGAAAGTATCGGTGTCTGATTGGCTATTCACGCAATCTTTCGAAACAGGTGTTATCCATAAATTTAGGCAGACTGTGACGAAAGCGTGAAGCCGGAAGTTCTTTAAGAGGCGAAAGTGATGATGAAGGTGCTCGAGAAAAAAAAAAAAAAAGGGAGGGGGGAGATTCTGAAAATATTTGCCAAAATTAGAGCAATTCCAACCTGGAAGGCCACAACCCTTCCGACGCCAATAGGAACGAGATGCCTGGAAAGTGCATTTTCAATAAACTGTGGCTTCATCAAGCTGACTACAAAGACTGGATATTGATGGATGGCAATCCTTATAAAGCTAAATGTGGTCTTTGTCTG